ATCATTTGCAGAAAATTAAAAAGAAGAAGTACTTCCCAATTCATTCTGTGAGGTCAGCACTGCTCTGACAGTAAAACTGGACAAATTACACAATAAGAAAACAACTCCAAATGCCAGTATCTCAAATTGTCGTAAGTGTAAAAATTTATAACTAAAATTTTAGCAAACTGAATCCAACAACATACAAAAAGGTTAACATGTGCCAAGCGTAATTTATTCCAGGAATGCAGAGTTGGTTTACATTAAAGAATAAACCAATGTAATTCACCACATCAGCAAAGTGAAACAAGGAAAACCATTTGATCAAATCAGTAGACACAGAAAATGCATTTGACAAAATCAAACACCCATTCCTAATTTAAAAACCAACGATAACAACTCTTGGCAAACAAAGAATAGAAGGAGAAACTTCCTCAACTTGATTAGGGCGTCTGGGGAAAATACAGCAAACATCTTTTTTAATGATGAAAGACTGCATGCTTTCCCCCTAAGGGGGAAAGATCAAAAACAGTGCAAGTGACAGGGGTGCTGAAAGAATTAAATGAAGAAAGAATAGTCTTTTCAACAAATGGTGCCAGGACAACTAGACAGCTACATGTTGAACCACTACCTCACTTCATATACAAAAATTAATTGAAAATGGATAAAAGCTCTAAATGTAAGAGCTAAAACTGTAAAACTCACAACAAAACTTAGGAGTAAACCTTTGTGACCTTTGGCTAAGCAACGATTTCATAGATCAACACCAAAAGCTCAAGCAACAAAAGAAAAAAGATAAATTAGACTTCATCAAATTAAAGACTTTGTGCTTCAAAGGAGACACCATCAAGAAAGTAAAAAGAAAATCCACAGAATGGGAGAAAAATTTTGCAAAGCACATGCTTGATAAGGGACTTGGACCTAAAAGATACAAAAGAACTTTTATAACTCAATAGTGAAAGACAACTCATTTTTTAAAATGTGCAAAGGATCTAAATAGGTATTTCTCCACAGCAGATTCACATATAGCCAGTAAACACATGAAAAGATGCTCAACATCATTAATTATCAGTGAAACGTAAATCAAAGACAAAATGAGGGAGTACTTCACATGCACTAGAATAGCTACAATCAAAAAGATAGGACAGGCATGGTGGCTCACGCCTGTAATCCTGGCACTTTAGGAGGCCAAGGCAGGAGGATCACTCAAGGCCAGGAGTTCATGGCAAGCCTGGGTGACATGACGAGACCCCATCTCCTAAAAAAATACAGGCTGGGCGCAGTGGCTCATGCCTGTAATCCCTAACACTTTGGGAGGCCGAGGTGGGAGGATTGCTTGAGGCCAGGAGCTTGAGACTAGCCTGAGCAAGAGAGACACTCCATCGCTACAAAAAAAAGAAAGAAAAAAGAAAAATTAGCCAGGTGCGGTGGCACATTTCTGTAGCCCTAGCTACTGTGGAGGCTGAGAGCCCAGGGGTCTAGGCTGCCGTAAGCTACGACTGGGCCACTGCACTCCAGCCTGGGCAACAGAACGAGACTCTGCCTTTAAAGAAAAAAAGACAATAACAGGTGTTGACAAGGATATGGAAAAACTGGAACCCTCATATACTGCTTTTAGAAATGTAAAATGGTACAGCCACTTTGGAAAACAGTCTGGCAGTTCCTCACAAGGTTAACCAAAGAGTTGCCATATGATCCAGCAATTCCACTACCTAAGAGAATTGAAAACACGTATCTACACAAAAATTTGTAACACAAATGTTCATAACATCATTATTCGTAGTAGATGCCAAGCAGAAACCACCCAGATATCCATCAACTAATGAATGAACAAATGTGGTATATTGATAAAATAGAAATATTATCGTGTCATTAAAAAGAATGGAGTACTGAAATATCAGACAACACAAATGAACCATGAAAACATTACGCTAAGTGAAAGAAGTCTGTTACAAAGGCTATATATTGTATGATTTTATTTATATGAAATACCTAGAATAGACAAATCTATAGAGCGAGAAATAGACTAGTGCTTGCCTAGGGCTGGGGAGATGAGAGGATTGGGAGGTGTTGGCTTAAGGGTACAAACTGTCTTTTTGGTGTAATGAAAATGTTTAAAATTGATCATGACTATAGTTGCACAACTCTGTAAAAATTACTGAAAAAAACTGAATTATACAATTCAAATGGGTAAATTATATGGTATATGAATTATATCTCAAGCTGTTATAAAAACAAAAGAAAAACAAGGCAAAGAATGTTCAGTCTCACAACTTTTATTCAAAAACATTGTGCTGGAGGTTCTAGCTAGTGCAGTTTGGCAAGAAAAATTAATGAAAGGCATCCATATTGGAAAGAAAGGAATAAAACTGTCTTTTTTTGCAGCTAATGTGATCATCTGTATAAAACATCCTATGGAATATCCAAAACTACTAAAACTAGTAAGTGAATTTAGCAGGGTTGGAGGATACAAATCAATACACAGAATTCAAGTGGATTTCTGTATTGTAGCAACAGAAGTTTGAATTCATTATTTTTTTTAAATGTCATTTATATTGCTTCTCTGCCTTTCGGCTAAGATCAAGTATAAAATGTCATTTACAAGAACATCAAAATTATGAAATAAAGACACATGTGGCAAAATACTTGCTAGATCTGTAACTAAAAAACTATAAAACAGTGCTAAGAGAAATTAAAGAAGACCTATAAATTGAAAGAAATGCTGTGTTCATAGATTGGAAGATTCAATATTGTTATGATGCCAGTTCACTACAAATTGATAAACAGATTCAGTGAAATTTCAGTGAATATCCTGGCAGGCTATTTTGTAAAAACCGAAAAGCTGATTGTAAAATTTATATGGAAATATAAAGGACCTAGGCATTCCAAAACAACTTTGAAAAAGAAGAAAGCTGGAGAACTTAAAATTATCTAACTTCAAAGCTTATTATAAAGCTATAATAATCAAGACAGTGAGGTATTGGCATAAAGATAGACAAACGGTCAATGGAATAGAACACATTATCTAGAAACAGATCTATATATACATAGTATGTATATTTTATACACACACACACACACACACACACACTTGATTTTTCAGAAAGGTGTTAGGGTTATTCAATGGGGAAAGGATAATTTCTATAGATGGTGGTAGAACAAATGGATATCTGGCCCCTACCTTGTAATAAATAAAAATCAACTCAGAATGAATCATAGACCTGAATATAAAAGCTTAAACTAGGGATTAAAAACTCTTGGTGACCTTGAGTTTTGCAAAAATTTCTTTTCATTTTTTTAATGATGTCTTCTGAAGATCAAAACTTTAGTCTTCAGAAAATACCATTTAAAAAATGAAAATACAAGCCATAGACTAGGAAAAAATACATACAAAGTACATGCCCGATAAAGTATTTATATCTAGAATATATAAAGCGTTCTTATAACCCAAGAAAGAAAGACAATCTAATAGAGAAAGAGCAAAAGATCTGGACATACATTTCACCAAAAGAGATAATATGGATGGCAAATAAGTGCATGAAAGATGTTCGGTATCATTCGTCGTTATGGAAATGTAAATCAAAACCACTAGATTCCAAAAGACTGGCCAAGTATTGGCAAGGAAGCTGTGCAACTAACATGCTCACATGCTACACTGTTGAGAATGTCAAATAGCACAACCACTTTGGAAAACAGTTTGGCAGTTTCTTACGAAACTAGACATAGTCTTATCATATGATCCAGCAATCATGCTCCTTGGTATTTACCCAAATGAGTTGAAAACTTGACATCCACACAAAAACCGGAACATGTTTGTAGCAGTTTTATTCATAATTGCCAAAACTTGGAAGCAACCAAGATGTTCTTCAGTAGGTAGATAAACAATCCAGCACATCCATAAAATGGAATGTTATTCAGGAAATAAAAAGAAATGAGTTACCAAGCTATGAAAAGACATGGAGGAACCTTTAACGCATATTACTAAGTGAAAGAAGCCAATCTGAAAAGGTTACATACTGTTGATTTCAACTGCATAACATTCCAGAAAAGGCAAAACTATGGAGACAGTAAAAAGATCAGTGGCTGCTAGGCATTTAGGAAGAAGGAGGGAGGGATGAACAGGTAGACCACAAAGGATTTTTTAGGGCAGTCAAATCATTCTGTATGATACTGTAATGATGGATACATATCCTGTATGATATATGTATATACATATTCTGTATGATACTGTAATGATGGATACATATCCTTATATTTCATTTGTCAAAACTCACAGAATTTATAATACACAGTGAACACTAATGTAAACTCTGGACTTTAGTTTATAATAATGGATCAGTATTGGCTCACCACTTGTAAGAACTGAACCACATTAATGGAAGATGTTAATAATAGTGGAAACTAGAGGGGTGAAGAGGGTAAGAGGATATATGGGAACACTATACTTTTTACTCAGTTTTTCTGTAAACCTAAAACTGCTCAAAACAAAAACAAAATTCCTTCCTTTTCACCTTCTTCCCCCTCCTTCAAAAAAAAAAGCCGCAATGAGATTCCAAAAGACTGACTGGCTGTTGTGTTGGCAAGGATGTTGTGCAACTAAAACACGGTATACTTCTGGTGAGAGTGTCAATTTCAAAAAAATTTTTTTTCTTTTTTGTCTTTTTTTAAACACTGGCTGATGAGATCAATTTTTTTTTTTTTTAAGAGATGGGGTCTCCCTATGTTGTCCAGGCTGGTCTCAAACTCCTGAGCTCAAGGGTTCATAGTTTTTTTAAAAAGTTAAACATATACCTACCATATGTCTCAGCCATTCCCCTTTTAGGTATTTACTCAAGAAAAATGAAAACATATGTCCATGCAAATACTTGTACACAAATGTTCTTACCAGATTTATTTGCAATGGCCCCAAACTGGAAATCAAATGTCTGCCTCCAGGTAAATGATTAAGCAAATTGTGGTCTACCCACACAGTGAAATAAAGAATATTCAGCAATAAACAGGAATAAACTTTTTTTTTTTTCCATTTATGAGATATTTATTAAAATAACACATTTAGGGAAAAAAAATCAATACAATGTATACATCATTACTGAAAACTGTATACCATCATACAAAAAAGGATTTTATTTTGGGAAATTGATTTCTAATTTATGACAAGTTTTACTTTCAGAAATAAAATCACAGAACCACACGATCTAAGTCAATCTTAAAGGCTGGCATGCTGAGCAAGGAATGTTCTTATTCTTTGTAGGAGCTCCTTCTTTACACTGTCAGGTACCAGGGCTCTGCCTTTTGGAGTGATTTCAGCCACCAAGTCATCAACAGTAACGTGTTCTAGTCCTTTTTCTTTAATTACCTTTACAGTGTGCCTTCAATTGATCCTTCCAGCCACATTCAATTAATTTAGCTCTCAGCAACTCTTTGAGGCGTTCTCTTTCTCCAGTTTCTATCAACTTTTGGTTAATCGCTGCTCTCATCTGCGCATCTTTGTTCATCTTGGTAACCACCGTCACCGCGGGCGAGCACCATCCCTTCCCAGCGACGAAATGACCCTTGCGCTGATGACCGTTACCTACCACACTCTTCGGCTGCCCGGACTTAGGAATAAACTATTGATACATGCAACAATATGATTGAATCTCAAAATAATTAACACTGGATGAAAGAAGGAGACCCCCCCACAAAGGTCATGTATATACTGTATGACTCCATTTATATAAAATTCTAGAAAATGCATACTAATTTATTGTGGCAAAAGCAGATTATTGGTTGCCTAGGAACAATGGATAGAGGTAAGATAGTGATGGATTACAAGGGCCTAAGCAAATTTTTGGAGGTGATGGATATGTTTGCTATCTTGAGAAGGGTGATGGTTTCATAGCTATACACTAGGGGTCTTCAGAAAATTCATGGAAAATGCGTATTATGATAAGACAATGCATGGATTTCAATTTTTTTTGCATTAAAATAAATTCACTTGTTATAACATGTCTGAACAATGTCTGAACAGGATCTAGTTTGAGGCAGTAAGAAGGTTAAGACAGGCCGGGCGCGGTAGCTCACGCCTGTAGTCCTAGCACTCTGGGAAGCCAAGGCGGGTGGATCGCTCAAGGTCAGGAGTTCGAGACCAGCCTGAGCAAGAGTGAGACCTTGTTTCTACTAAAAATAGAAAGAAATTATTTGGACAACTAAAAATATATATAGAAAAAATTAGCCGGGCATGGTGACACATGTCTGTAGTCTCAGCTACTCGGGAGGCTGAGGCAATAGGATTGCTTGAGCCCAGGAGTTTGAAGTTGCTGTGAGCTAGGCTGATGCCATGGCTCTCACTCTAGCCCGGGCAACAGAGTGAGACTCTGTCTCAAAAAAAAAAAAAAAAAAGAAGGTTAAGACATCATTTCAAAACCAACTTGAATTCTGCTAAAATTGAAGCAAGAGCAAACATCAAATTTATGGTGTGGCTTAAGTGGAAGAATGGTGAAATCACTGATGCTTTACAAAAAGTTTATGAGGAAAATGCTCCAAGGAAATCAGCCGTTTACAAATAGATAACTTGTTTTAAGAAGGGACAAGTCAATGTTAAAGATGAAGCCTGCAGCAGCCAGACCATCCACATCAGTTTGTGGAGGAAAAATTCATCTTGTTTGTGCCCTAATTGAAAAGGACCAATGATTAACAGCACAAACGATAGCCAATGCCAGGGACATCTCAACTGGTTCAGCTTACACAATTCTGACTGAAAAATGAAGGTTGAGCACATTTTCCACTTGATGGGTGCCGAAACCATTGCGCCCAAATCAGCTGCAGACAAGAGGAGAGCTTTCATGGAAATTTTTAAAAAGTGGGATCAAATCCGGAAGCATTTCTTCAAAGAATTGTAATAGGAGATAAAACGTGGCTTCACTAGTACGATCCTGAAGACAAAGCACAATGAAAGCCATGGCTACCAAGAGGTGGGCGTGGTCCAGTCAAAGCCAAAGTCGACCAGTCAAGAGCAGAGATCATGGCAACAGTTTTTTGGGATACTCAAGGCATTTTGCTTGTTGACTTTCTGGAGGGCCAGAGAATGATAATATCTACCTATTATGAGACTGTTTTGAAAAAACCAAAGCTTTAGCAGAAAAATGCCCAGGAAAGCCTCAGAGAGCCCTTCACCATGACAGTGCTTCTGTTCATTCCTCTCATCAAACACAGGCAATTCTGTAAGAGTTTCGATGGGAAATCATTAGGCATCCATTTTACAATCCTAATTTGGTTCCTTGAGACTTCTTTTTGTTTCCTGATCTTAAAAAAATCTTTAAAGAGCACACATTTTTCTTCAGTTAGTAATGTAAAAAAGACTGCACTGATGTGGATAAATTCCCAAGGTACCTGAGTTCTTTAAGGATGGATTAAAGGGCTGGCTGGTATCATCGTTTACAAAAGTGTCTTGAACTTGATGGAGCTTATGTTGAGAAATAAAGTTTATATTTTTTATTTTTATCTTTTCTGTTTTTCCACAAACTTTTCGAAGTCCCCTCACATATAAGTCAGAATTGACCATTATTATACACTTTAAATGTGCAGTTCATTGTATGCCAATTATCTCAAGTTATTAAAGAAGTTATTCTTTAGGGCTACTAGCACTTCAACTCTGACCAATTTATGAATCACACAACACATCTCATTACCCTGAAGACACCTCTTGCTTTTGCTTTTTAAAAATCATATTATCTCAACTGGTGACCCCTTTATTTGCTAGATTGTAAGCGAATTCTGACTTTTTAAAAATAAAATCAAATCTGCCATCATTGGTTAGATATATTCTAATTGTAGGTATTCAAAAATTCTCAAGACAATTTCAGAGAAGTATTTCCCTGGTAACGTTCGTCACCTCTGGTTGGGAAGAACTGGGTGGCTTGGGATAGAGGGAAGGGAGAGTCTTGAGACCTTTCACTGTGTATCTTTTCATATGTTTTGAACTTTGTATCATATTATCTATTTAAAATCATATAAAATTCAAATTTAAAGGGAATTTACAAAGTGTTCCCTGAACACTTTAAATAGTAATATAAGTAAGAGCAACAGTATATATATAGCCTCCTGGAACGATTAAAGGAAATAATAATTCTGTAGAAGCAATAAATTTGGTTAAGTTTTAATAATTTATTAGCCATACATCATATGTAATGTCAAATTAGTTGAAAGATCACACTTCATATAAAGTGGCAGTCATTTGTAAACAGGCCTGTACGTCTTCAGAAAGGCAGAGAAAAATCTTTTCATCTAGTGGTCCCCCATTGTCTTGATAATCATCATGTTTAGGATATATTTGCTTCCTTTCTCTTACAAAGTTTCTAAACGATCTTTTAGTTAATAAAATGTTTAATCATTTCTTGAATTGATATTTCAAAAGAATATGTAGTTTGTGTGGCAAATTAAATTTGAGTTTTTACATTTCCATAGGAAACAGAGTATTGCCTTAGAACGTTTTAGAGTCATGTAGAGACTTGGGTTCAAAACCTAGCAGTTGGCCGGGTGCGGTGGCTCACGCCTGTAATCCTAGCTCTCTGGGAGGCCGAGGCGGGCGGATTGTTTGAGCTCAGGAGTTCGAAACCAGCCTGAGCAAGAGCGAGACCCCGTCTCTACTAAAAATAGAAAGAAATTAATCGGACAACTAAAAATATATAGAAAAATTAGCCGGGCATGGTGGCGCATGCCTGTAGTCCCAGCTACTAGGGAGGCTGAGGCAGGAGGATCGCTTGAGCCCAGGAGTTTGAGGTTGCTGTGAGCTAGGATGACGCCACGGCACTCTAGCCAGGGCAACACGATGAGACTCTGTCTCAAAAAAAAAAAAAAAACAACCTAGCAGTTGTGTGTGCCTCTGGGCTATTAGAAATGCATGTCCTTGTTTATGAAATGAAGACAGAAGAGACTATATCCCAGATTTGCTTTAAGTGCTGAATAAGAAAATGTACAGGATTCTTTCTTAATAAATGTCCATTCCTTTCTCTTACTCCAAACAGCTCAGAGTTAAAGGCATATTAAACTCCAAATAGCAAATTCTGATTTTTTTCCTTTTGCAGATATTACACAGAAACAACATTTGTAACAAATTCCTTCTTACTCATCCACATTTTATCTCTCAATGGGTCATGTTCCCTACAGAAATAAAGACAGCAAGCATAGTGGTGAAGAGCTCAGATTGTGGAACCAAACTGTTTGGGAGTGATAATCTGCATCTGCCAGTTGCCAGGTGTGTAACCTTAGGCAAATGACAACCTCTCTCTCTGCTTAGGTTTCCTTACCTGTAATATGGAGATTTATGGTACAGTACCATCTCAGGATTGCTATGGGAATTAAGTTAATGTCTGTAAAGTGCTTAGAAGGGGCCTGGCACATAGTAATAATGATGCAAATGTTTGCAAAACAGAATTCAGTTGATATATTTAGGGGTCCTCTCCCTTTTAATTCTTAAACCATACTGAAAATGCTGGGGAATTTGTTTAAATGCTTAAAATCTTAATTTTTTCTACATTTTATTAGATTATCTTAATGGGGAAGGAGGGTAGCTCTTAGAGCAAATTTAGACTTTTTAGAAATTCTCAAATTACTTTAGGCTGATGTAGGTAAAGTATCCGTATTCCAACTTTTGTCCTCTGATGTTTCTATCAAGCACTAGGAAAATGCAACAACTCATAAGTGATTTACCGAACATCACTCAGTGTTCATTGACAGTAATTACAATAATGGCTCTTAATCCCTGTTTCTTCATCTGTAAAATGAGGACAGCAGCTATGTCTACTTCATACGATTGTCATAAGGATTAAATACATTATTTGTAAAGCACTTAGAATAATACCAGAGCAATAAGCATTCCAAAAAGAATAACTAACATTTATTAAGTTTGGGATTTGAACGCAGTCTTGTTCAGAATCCACTCTTACACACTATAGTCAGCCCTCCATATCTGCCACAGTTTGAAAATATTAAAAATAACAGTAAAAATACAAATAAAAAATACAGTGTAACAACTACTTACATAGCCTTTACATCATATCAGGTATTACAAGTAATCTAGAGATGATTTATGTGCATAGATGTGCGTAGGTTATATGCTAATACTATGTCATGCCATTTTATATAAGAGACTTGAGCATCTGGAGACTTTGGTATTCATGAAGGGTGAGGGGGTGCTGTCCTGGAACCAATCCCTCATGGATACCAAGGGACTACTGTATATCATACTGCCTCTCATTGGTTCATTTGTTCAACCAACATTTAACACATGTCTTCTGTGTACCAGTATGCTCCCCTCACCAATCTCTTGATTTAAAAAATGACAAAATACTAGCTTCTTTAAAAAAATTCTAAAATCCTTCCAGAGCTTAAAAAGTAAGCAAAATATGTGCCTTAATATGGGTATAATAAAGCCACGACCAGGGCTGCAGTCAAAACAGGTTTATATTGAACACGTTCATATTTTGCTGAGAGGAGTTGACACTTTCTGCTGCTCACCATATAAATCAAAACTTGCAAATAATGTTAAGCATAGTATTTCTCAGTCAGAATTCTAAAGTCAACACCTGTTGTCAGAACCTCAAACACTAATATAAA